AAATATTTAAGTGACACATAATCAATGTGCTCATTGTGTAAATTGTTTGAAGAGGAGAACTTTGAACATATATTTTTAAATTGTACAATTCACCAAACCTCAAAGATCCTTTTATTTAAAGAAGTACATAGTTACATGTGTAAATAGTAACAATTTAGACAAACTTAAGTTCTTGCTAAAATTTGAAGTAAAAAACCAGGCAATTGATATGTTCAATTTTGTTTATAAAGCACTTAAATTGACAATTACTTTTGTGAATAGTGTCATGTCAATTTAAATTGGAAGATATCTTTAATGATGTATATATATCTTTATTTTGTCATTTGGCTCCCCCCAGTAATAGCTATTGCTGAAATACAGTATTAATCTATCTATCTATGTAAGGACTTGGTAGAGATAAACAGTTCCCCACTTCATAAGTCGATGAGAATCCAATCCGATTACACGACATTTGAAAGTGGCAAAAGTGGGAAAATTCGAACGGTTGTAGTTGGTGTTCGAGAGGATTGAAGTCACGATAGTTCAAGTGGTAGAGCAGTGGCGTATTTAGCGAAGGTCGTGGGTTCGAATCCCGCTCGTGACACTGATTTTTTCACCTCAACCAAGGCCTTAAGTAGATAAAAAATTTAATTAATTTAACTTATTATTTTAGTCAATTATTACTACAAATTATGTATATGGATTTCTTTCATAATTTATGATTTAGACAAGCTAAAAATTCAAAATTTAAAAAAAATTTTGACGTAAATAGCATTCACCTTACATACCGGATAATATTATACGCTTCGTGAAAAGGAGGAAAGATAAAATCAAAGACACACCATCAGGGAATTCGGAAAAGACTCGGGTAGGGCCCTGGCCCCGGGCCAGAGGGCTAATAGATTTTCGGAAATATATCCTTGACGCCGGCAGATCATTTTAGATTACAATCTTAATTAATTTGGCTCCACATTTTACACGTTATTTCATTACGAACATTTAGCCCTTGATATTTTTATAATGCATTTCTTCATTTGCAAGACTTAGTTTGACTCAAGCTTTTTAGCGTTAAATAAATTTTTGTGATGATGACGATGACGATAAGAGGACACTAAAACTAGGCATACACTAGGTCGGTGGCGCAGCGCGGAACCGACCCCCAAGAAGAATACATTGAAATGAATGTAACCCCGCACACTAGGCCGGTACGGTGATGCGGCGCGGCGCGGAGCCGAGCTCCAGAATTCTGGCAACGTCCTCCGGCTCCGAGCCGCGCCGCGTCGCCCTACCGACCTAGTGTGCGCCGGGGTGGTCGGAAATCTTTGAGTTCGGGTATATTCGGATCGTTCGCCCAGTTCTTTTGTTTTATTATGGGCCCATTCTGAAAAAGAGGAGGAAAATGAGGATCTTGTTATAGAAATTGTAGTTAATTGAAATTTTTTCGTGGACCCAATTTGAGAGGAGTTTATGTTTGATATTGTGGATTGGCGACAAAGTAGAAGAAAAAGTATGCAGACGGCCGCATTGCGTTTGTTCACTTTATCATCAACATGGGGAGTAAATGTGAATTTATGGTCCAGAATCATATCCATCAAGATATTTGACCGACTGAGACAACAACACAGTTTCATATTCGATTTTCATATTTTATTTCATCAAACGTCACTGCTTCCTGAAAACTATTGACTCGGTTTTATTATGGTTAATTTTAATTTTCTAACTGTTGCAGAAACGTCCAGTCAGAAACTATACAGGATGAGTCCAATTAAGGAGCCCTGAAGACCACCAGCACCATATCTCTCGATGGAAGGAAGGATGGTATGGTATGGTATGGCTGAAAAGGAACCGCCAGGTGCGGAAGCGGGGTTTGCACTCCCCAGGCACTGCAGCCTTCTGGCTTATTGCACCTTCCTAGTTCCTTAGTTCAGTGCAATAGACTCAATCCTTCTTCTTAGTAGTATCAGGTCATTGACTGTCGCTGCTGCAATTTGATTCCCTAAGTTTTTTCCGTACGTTAGGTTAAATCTCCATTGAGCTGTTGCTTTGCATTCGGAAATGATATGAGTGGCTGTTTCCTCCTCCTAATTACATAATCTGCAAATGGGATCGTCGCATGTTGTGTACATGTTTCCTCAGATACCAGTGTCCGATTAGTCCTACCACTCCTCTGAGTTTGGCCCTCTCCAATTGCAGTAGTGCTTTTGCCAGTCTTGGTGAGGGTTGTTTCATCATAAGTTTACTATGTCTAGCACCGCTAGAGTTTATCTACTTCTCATTTTGTTTTGCTTGGATCCATTCTGGGTGGGATGATTCTATATGTCTTCTTGTTATCCTAAGAATAGGTTCGGGGCCTATGTATGGTCTTGCAGATCCTCCTCTGGCCAGTCTGTCTGCTTTCTCGTTACCCAAAATTCCCCTGTGCCCTGGCACCCGAGATATCAGTTTTTTTGTGTTTCCCCAGGTTTTGGAGATTTTGCCTGCATTCACTGACTAATTTTGATGTGATTCTTTTACAAGCTAATGCTTTAATGGCTGCTTGGCTATTGGTCTTATGAGGATTTTTTTATCAGTGTTACCTCTTTTAAGATTTTTCAGGGCACAAGCATTGACGGCATGTATTTCTGCTTGAAAGACCGAAGTGTACTTCCCTAATGGGTTTGAGTGCTCATGTTTTCGGCTTGTACAGAAAACGCCTCATCCGGTACCTTCGTTTGTTTTGGAGTCATATGTATACCATTTCATTCTATCTGATGCTCTCCTTTGTAGTCCGTTCAGAATTTATAGGAAGTTGTGAAAATTGTTTCCGGGGTCATATAATCAGTCCCCAATTCTAATAATGGGAGTCTGATTTTGTTGATTATGGTTGTATGCCCGAATTGTTTAGTTCCTTTCCAATTTAATTGTTTCTGGAGCCTAAAAGTGAGCTTTTCCTAGCCTCTCCTTCTATGAATATTTCCAGAGGAGGTATCGAAGGAAGGATAATCAAAAATAAACCGAGAATACCTGAATAAGAAATACAAGTGGACTATTTTTATTTTGTAAGGAGGGAAGTTTATTCCATCATCGTGCTGACTATACCAATATGACAAACAGTGTCAAAGACTTTTTGGATATCTATCAAAACCATGCCAATAAGCTATTTGACATTAAAGGCTATCGTTTTGCCATGTATTATCCTGGTCCTTCCTCCGACATAATGATGCTGTTTTCATGCGGCAATTGGGATTGAGCTTAACACGCTCAAATACCTTGAAACAGAGCTAAGTAGGCGAATAGGTCTGTAACTTTCTGGATGGTATGGACACTTGCCAGAGTTCAATTCTTGCTAAATATTTTGAGGTTTAGACCGGAATCTTGAACTGACACCAGTTAGCTTTACGAACGTCAAGCGAGGAAGCTTAATATATTCCTGTAACTGGATACAGGAATATATTAAAAGAGACAGGGTTAAACCATTCTTTTGTTTATTCTCTACATCAGTTTAATTAATAAAAATTTATTAAATATAAATTTTTATGTGTGGAGTTTAGAAAAACATTTTCTTTATCATGCCAACGTTTCGATCTTTATCGAGATCATCTTCAGGGCTCAAAGTGTTTGTTTTCCGTGTAGATGTGTCATTCTTGTTTGTCTCCCAACGGGCAGACAAGAATGACACATCTACAGGGAAAACAAACACTTTGAGCCCTGAAGATGGTCTCAATAAAGGTCGAAACGTTGGCATGATAAAGCCAATTTTTTTCTAAAACCTACGTCACACCAGATCGCACCTCACGATCTCCAAATAATCATAAATTTTTATGATAATTAAAACGCTTAAATTTCTTAAATTTAATGCTTTATTTTCAACCGGCCGTTAGGACATTTTCATAATAGTTTTATGAAGGGAGTGAGCAACATGGTAAAAGCTTTCTCTCCCGATTTCGTTTTCGCGTCTAAGAAGTTAATCCCCTTCATTATCCCCTTTTCGAAGTGCCCCTCGAGAATAAGTGCATATTTAACGACTTTTCGAAAACTCACTTTGACTCCTGACAGAAGTTAATCCTCGGCAATGAAAAAAAAAAGAAAAAAAAGTTAAAGGCCGTAGCAAGTACAAAAGACAAAAATGTAAAAACCCGTAAGCCGGTTTTATGGCCTGTAAGGAGGAGAGCATTGTGGTCAGGTCCGGAAAGAGTTCCCCCCCGGCAGGACATAGAAACAGGCTTAACGGTGGTTTTTCCTTCTTATCATCTTTTATATTCATCCTCTACACTAGTCGCTAAGAGAATAGAAAACCCTTTTAAGCTCCTTTATAATTCCAGAAAGGATGAAAAACCACGCAACCAAAGATTACAGTATCAGATATAAAGCTACATAAAACCTTAGCTCTTTTCTTCCTGATATGTAACTGTGTTGCTTTCTTACAAAAGCTACATTATTGAACCGTTCATCGAATAACAATAAAAATATTTTAAAAACATCTCGTTTTATTAACTTGAACTTTTATTTCTTTCATTATAATTTATATCTTTATGCTAATCTTGAATGTACAATTATTATTCTTTTATTCTCCTTGCTACTTAATACTTCATGTTTTTGCATACTGGTTATAACATCTAATCGCTGGAGGTCACATCCAGGTTGTACAACTTTGCAGTTAAACACGGTATGGGGTTAATAGCAAATTTAAAATTTTTGTCATGCATGTAATGTTCAAACGTGACAATTCTAAAAAATATTTAACAGTTTTATATGATGATCCACAAACTTACATTGTAAGCTTCCCTAAGACTCCGTCGGTTCATGATGAAATTAAACACAATAGAATATGGACTTGTCAGTTTTACTTTCGATTGTTTATGAATAATTCCTTCTTAATAGCGATTTTTTTGTGTAGTAGTTTGGTTTTTGAACTTTTTTCAGTGGCAGTTTTATGAACCACAGTATTTAATTATAATCTATTTATGTTTTAGAGGTCAATTTACCAAGTTTTAATTAATTATGCTTTTTGTGTAAGGTCTTGGTTGAGATAAAAAAGTCAGTGTCACGAGTGGGATTCGAACCCACGACCTTCGGCTTTATACGCCGCTGTTCAACCACTTGACCTATCGTGACTTCGATCCTCTGGGACACCAACTCTCCATCTCAACCTACAATTGTTCGAATTTTCGCTCGTTTTGCCATTTTCATGTGTCATGGATCAGAGTTGGATTGTCAGCGAGTTATGAAGTTGCCACGGGGAGCTGTTTAGTGAAGTTAAACTTCTTTTACTCATTAAATATTAATCCATTTATGTTTTAGTGGTCAATTGACCAAGTTACTTCTTTCAATTAATTATTCTTTTTGTGTAAGGTCTTGGTTGAGATAAAAAAAGTCAGTGTAACGAGCTGATTCGAACCCACGACCTTCGGCTAAATACGCCGCTGATCTACCACTTGCTCACTTGCCAGATAGTTCAAGTCTGTCGGAAACCGTTCTCCCGATATTATATCAACTCACTTTCAGCTGGTGGAGATTAGCGTTGATTGAATGGCTGCTTCCACGAATTTAAAAAAACGGCTGATCAATTGAAATGTTTTTTCAAGTATACTTCCAATCAAATAAAATTAGATGACTCGATCGTTTTGAATTTTGATTTCTTGACAAAAATAATTTATTGCGAAAAACCATTAATAAGGATAATGATGTGTCACTTTATTGTAACTTAACTAGAATTTTACTTTAGTGTTTTACAAATATCATTTCTACAACTAGACAAAAAATTTAGTCAAAATAAATACTAACGGGATATTAAAAGTTATTTGGCTTCAGTGGGAAGTAATACATATTAGTGGCTAAGTTGAATAAATTATAAAAACTTACTGCATTTTGAATTCTGTATTTCCCGATACTGACCTGAAACATAATACAAATAATTAACAAAATTCCTTCAGCTTAGATAAATTGTAATTTCATGTTTAACTCTCATGTTAGTACGTGTAGGCAATATTATTTCAACACGTGGGTTTGCTCTGGACGAGCTTCGTTTTAAACATTTCTTCGTTAATAAATCCTACCTCGTCGATGGTATTTAATTTTATGTAAAAAAAATGTATTTAAACGGAACAATTGCAAGGAAAGGAAATAGAGATGGATTAATGCCACGAAATGGTTGTCAGTGTTGAAACTGTAACATATTTCAATGAATTAATCCTTATGTAAGGTACGGGGTTGAGATAAAAAAGGCAGTGTCACGTGCGCGATTCGAACCCAGGATCTTCTGCTAAATACGCCTCTGCTCTACCACTTGAGCTCCACTCGGACACTAACTCCCCCCTCAACACAACCTTTCGAATTTTCCCTCCTTTTTGCCTTTTTTCAAATGTCGTGTAATCTATTCGATTTCGCCCTAGTAATTATTTAATTAACAAAATTGGTTCATCTTACATAAATTGTAATTTCATGTTGAACGCTCATGTTAATACGTGTAGGCAATATTATTTCACCACGTGGGTTTTTTCTCTGGACGAGCTAAGTTTTAAACATTTCTTCATAATTAAGTCCTACCTGGACGATGGTATTTTAGAGCTGGGGGTGAAAAATTACGGCCCACCACTGTTTTCAACATTGTATTTACACGGAACAATTGCAAGGACAGGAAATGGACATGGCCTTCTGTAACGAAATAGTTGTCAGTGTTGAAATAATATATTTCAATTAATTAATCTTTATGTAAGGTATGGGTTGAGGTAAAGTGGATCGAAGTCACGATAGGTCAAGTGGTAGAGCAGCGGCGTATTTAACCGAAGGTCGTGGGTTCGAATCCCGCTCGTTACACTGACTTTTTTAACTCAACCAAGACCTTACATAAATATTCGGAAATCATGAGATGCGGTCCGGTGTGATGTAGGTTTCAAAAAAACATTTTCTTTATCGTGCCAACGTTTCGATCTTTAATGAGACCATCTTCAGGGCTCAAAGTGTTTATTTTCTGCGTAATTGTGTCATTCTTGTGTGTCGTGCTGCGAGTGTAAGATCGAAACGTTGGCATGATACAAAAATGACCAGACCTCAGCTCACGATTTCCGACGAACGGTCACTAATCACCACACCTTACATAAAAAGAATATTTAACGGTAATTTATTAAATTCACCACTAATTCATGGTCCGCTTGACCAATTAATATCTTTCAATTAATTAAGGTTTTTAGTTTAGATAAAAAAGTCAGTGTCACGAGCGGGATTCGAACCCACAACCTTCGGCTAGATGCGCCGCTGCTCTACCACTTGAGCTATCGTGACGTGGATCCGCTCGAGCACCAACTTCCCATCTCAACCCCACGTTTTTAATTTTCCCTCCTTTTTTAATTATAATGTCCGAACACTCCAAACAGTCTATTAATTTGTAAATTTTGAAGGTTAAAGAATCTAATTTGCAGAAGGACCGAGGTAATGATTAAGATATCAGCCTCTCAGCTAGTAGTTACCACTTTCGTGGTTTCGATTCCATTCATCGCCTCTGAATTTCCGGGATGTTAGGGGTATTCATGATCTTTGACTTAACCCTGTTAATTCTGTTAAGTCCTCTGTTAAGTAACTCTGTTAGATCGAGAAAAATATGGTATGGTTAACGGTCAAGAAGAGAGAAAGAAACGAACAGGCTGTCAAACTGTTTACTATCTTTGAGTTAACCCTGTTAAGTCTGTTAGGTCCTGTTAGATCTAGAAATATGATAATGTAGACTTGTAAGAATCGGCTGATAACATTGCTCGATCTAACAGACCAGGGCCAATGTTAGAGGTTAGTTCGAAAATGTAGTTACACTGCCATCCGTTAGGGCTTAGGGAACCAGCATGGCAGCCATGAATATAACAGCTGTTTTTTGTTTACACTTATTTTTATTCTTAAATACGCATTAATTAAATCACACCAATACATTTCTTTTGTTAATTTCTGACCTGTCCTTATACTCTCATTCATAAAAGATACATCCCCTATACTACAAAGTTAAGCTGTTAGACGTTAGGATACAAATTAGGTACTGCGGCACGAATTGAAGCGTGTCATTTGTTATTACTTTTCGAGTGGATAGATAGTAATTTTGTTTTTACTAACTTTCAGCACTTTCAATTTAACATAAAAAACATACAACAAACCTTCAAGGACTGTTATAGCTTTATTTTTGGTTCTACCAGTCGCCACTGCAGTGCAATTCGCAGGAGAAATTTCAACAGTAAATTGTTGTTGTTGTTTTAAAATTTTGCTGCGTACGCTTAAATCTGTTGAAGGCAGCGTTAAATGGGGTTGTACTTAGTTGGGTTTTATACCGACAAGTCGGAGTAATTTCTGTATGTATAACACACAAAGTTTTCAGGTAGGGATAATTGTTTGGATTAGAGGGAAGCACAACACAGTCGGATATTAATTTGTAAGAGGTGGCGGAGGTCATTAACGGGTGGTTCCTTGGTAATATGTGGTTTTACATCATTAATACGACTGCATCGAGGACAAACCGTGTAAATTTGCCCAGGACGAAATTAATGTGCCAGATTCCTGAAGGGCGGCGGGATTGTCGGTTCCGAGGCGTAATCAAGATGAATTCGCCGCTTCACGTATCGATTACCGTGTGTGCTTCGGGAACACGGAGATGCCAGGTGGCAAATCTAGAGGCGTTTCCGTGTAAACCTTGTTTCCATGGGCCTGAATTTTACGACGGATCGAGATGCTGCTAGAGCGTGAAATTAGCCGCTGCCTTACAGCTCCTTAACTGCAACACATCCCATCCTTTTAACGTCTCACCTTGGCCAAATTAACGTTTCCATTTAATCGTGCTGTTCTTCATTGATAGACACTTTGATTAGAAAACACCCGCCTTGAGATGAGAAGCATCTGATGATGCTCATCTTGAATAGGCGGTTCAACCAAACTCCTGAAGTAATTTACTTTCCATTTATTAACGTCAGAGGTTTAGAGTCCATACAACGTTAAGAAAGAAAAAAATTAACGAAGATTTTTCTTTAAAAACTAAAAAGAAAAAAAAATCAATAAAACGATCCGACAGTAGAAGACTGATACTAGTTAGAAAATATACTAAATAGCATAAATTAAAAAATGGTTATAATAGAGTGAAAATATCAATTCAGTAACTGAAAAGGATAGTTCTACTCACAAACCCTTGCCTGCCAAATCCGATTCGCACGCCCTAGCCACTCCCGGTTCTGGGTTCAAAATTCCACAATCAGGTTAAAATTTATGATTTATATAAAGAACGATTCTTTTCAATTATAATAAAGACGATATTTTGTAAAAATTACACACAAACACACACTTAGAATCGACATATTAAACTGCTCAAAAACAAGTAGGGATATTGCCAATTTTTATTACTTTATTTTTATTATAAATTGCGTTAAAATATACTAATAACTAATATGTTTTTTACTGATGGAAAATTTAATTACGGAATTAAAACTATTTATTTTGTTAGTTGGAGATAGTGAGATGCGGTCTGGTGTGACGTAGGTTTTACAAAAACATTTTCTTTATCGTGTCAACGTTTCGATCTTTATTCAGATCATCTTCAGGGCCTGGGATTTATAAACATTTTTTAAATTAAACAAATCCATGTAGGATGTGGAAAAAATGAATTTATACAATGCTATAGAATTTTAAACTAAAAAAAAAATGAATTTATACAATGTTATTTGGAGATCGTGAGATGCGATCTGGTTTGACGTAGGTTTTAGAAAAACATTTTCTTTATCGTGCCAACGTTTCGATCTTTATTGAGATCATCTTCAGGGCCTGGGATTTATAAACATTGTTTAAATTAAACAAATCCATGTAGGATGTGGAAAAAAATGAATTCTTACAATGCTAGAAAAATTTTTATTTACAATAATGAATTTATACAATGGTATAAAATTTTAGATTAAAAAAAATTAATTTATACAATGTTATTTGGAGATTGTGAGATGCGATCTGGTGTGACCTAGGTTTTAGAAAAACATTTTCTTTATCGTTCCAACGTTTCGATCTTTATTGAGATCATCTTCAGCCCCTTGGATTTATAAACATAAAAAGTAAAGTTTACATTTTACAAATACATGTAGGAAATGAAAAACAAAAATGAATTT